CATTTGACCTATGACTCTATTCCCTTCGTATAGATGCGATATTAGAAATGAGAAAGTAAGTGTGCATGTTTTTAACAAAAAATAGTTCAAATTCCATTATTTAAGTAGCCTTGACCCGGTTTATATTAGTCTTGTGTTTAAGTTTAATGACACGGTTTGTTTTTACTTTTTAGGCGCGTTTGTTAATATTTTTGTTTTCTTTTTGTGCAATCATAATAATATTTTTAGTAAAATCAGAACTAAATACAATTGTATATATTAGTGTTAATAATAATAATTGTACAGTAATTAGTGTAAGTAACTAAGTGTAAAAATAATGCTAATACTTTATGTGATAGTTATCAAAAATATCTCGAAGTAATGCCAGTGTACTTTGGAACTTTTTTACAAAAGATACTACAACCATGAAGGATAATATTCTATAAAAACATCAATAGGTATATGTATTCATTTGATTTATTACATAAAAATGTAGGCTTGAGATGTCTAAAAATAAGCATTGTAATAATTATTTGCTATAAAATCAAACTTATATTCAATATTTTATACTGAACTTGTGGGTGAATTTATCATAATCATAATTATTAAATAAATCGTTCTGCCGTTAAATCTTTTCAAGTGATATTTTTATCAAACCGTGCGAAATGATTAAACAAATAAATAAATTTAACCATTAACACCATGTCTAATTTCATACGAAACGGTAACAAACAAGTTTTCTCGTGAAACGGACATCGTTTCATTATTGAAGCCGAAACACTATTGAAGTTCAAGCCGCTATTAAAATAAAGTGTTTCAAAACCCTCTATTAAAATAGAGTGTTTCAAAAGCCGCTATTGATATTCGATAGAAAGTTTCGTTTCGTTACTCAAAAAAGCCGCTACTACCCACCGCTACAAGTAATGTCAAATTGGCACAGCAGCATGGAGGTATTAGAGCAGTGAGTGTAGAAGTAAGGAGTACAGACTCTGTATAAAAAAGTGTCCGTAGAAAAGCGCTAAATAAGGGTGGCGCCATTGTAGCTACGGTCTAAATTTTAACAGTTATAAAAATCATCGCGCGGAGTTGGGTGCACTGTAACAAACTTCCCTCCAAGTCCGCGCGGGTATACCGGCACTCAACTTGTTAAAGAACTTTTTATAATTTTTTTGCACTGACTTTCACCATAGTTCTTTTTATAATAATTATTTTATTGCTTTCAAAATTTTTATTTTCAAAATCACTCTCAACGTATTTTACGGCGATTTATCATACTCCGTAGCTACTCGAGAGCTGTTGTGGAGAGTTTTTGAACTGTTATTTACTGCTTACGGATGGACACATTTTCAACTATTCTCCTATGGGAGATTGTCCTCCTTACCTCTATACTCCATGCATGGAGGTTTCTCTAGCCTCCGTGCATCGAAGGCACCATGGAGGTTAGAGAACAGGAGAATCACTACGTACTAAAACATAGCCCGCCGGTCCTTGAAAATTGTAGAATTTGTAGCGGCGCTGACGTCGGTGAGTAGTGACTGCGAAATAAGCTGTTTATGAGAACAAGTACATGAAGTTAGTTGAAAAATGTACAAATTTTCTTCGCGGCATTGGTGAGAAAATTTTCATTCTCCGTAATTTTTTAATTTTTGACACAAAAAAAAATCAAAAAATGGAGAAATATTTTATTGTGCGTGGATGTGCAAGTGGTTTAGCATCTGATCGATAAAATAGACTGAAAATGACTTTTATTGACTGAACTTAGCGAACGCAGCGCCTCTCTTATGGTGTCCATATTTCTGGAACACTATTTTCTACGGCGATCTTTCTGTTCTCTAACCTCCATGGAAGGCACAATCATAGACCTAAATAAGCTAGTTTTTTTTAATTAACTGGCTTTACGACTCTGGGTTCTAGCCCTTCTGAGCCTATCATTTCCTTCGGAATCTTCATTTTTATATTCTTTTTCTTCACAATATGCTGAAACGTCACATTGCGGAGCTCCTGGGAGATTTTGACGACAGCTCAACCCAGCGGACAGTTGAAGACGACAGCCAATCAAGTTCATAAGGCGCCCAAGCGATCAAAATAACTTGAGGTTTATATCGACATCGAAGCACTTGTTTCGTCGTTTTCTTTAGAAGTTCACACGCGCGGACATGTAATTCACAAAATCCCATTACTTTTACGAATCAAAATTCAGTTCAAACCATTATTCAAGGAGCAAAACAGGAGCGACAGTCCGTCTACGGCCAAGTTCCCACCAAAACTCTCGATAATCTATGATGATATATTATAGTATATTCGGGAGATTACAGACTAACTAGTACCTAGTCTCAAGTATATATCATAGACTACGTTAGTACTCTTATTAGTTTGTGAACATAGACGTATATAAAACACTATGTTTTACGTAGACAGAGAAACCTATAGACTAATGATCGGCGTGGCCTCGAGTGAGAAAGGACGATAACGAATTTTTTAGGTTATACAATAATCTTTATGACTTTTAAACACATTTAGATAAAAATTTTAATTGTTCTAAGAACTGAACTGAACAAAATTCACCAATCTTAAGCTCACAAAACACTTTTTTCTCACTTAAATCAACTTGTAAACTCCTTAAATCACTACGCTGTTAAAGTTGTTTAGCAAACTGTAGAGTTTGCTAAACAAAAAAAACCGGCACGGAGAAAGGGACAAACAATCACACCGCTCTATCTCATTTCTATGCAAGATGTATGCATAAATCTATCTTTTTCGTGTGCGAATGCGAAAGAAGGCGTCAATTTGTCTATAGGTTTCTCTAAATGGTAAACATTTAACCAAGTCCTGGTGCATCGACTTAAACGTTTGCCAATATTCTTCTTTTTTTATAGAAGAGGGAGCAAACGAGCATGCGGCTCACCTGATGTTAAGTGACTACCGCCGCCCATGATCAACCGCAACACCAGGGGAATTGCAGGTGCGTTGCCGGCCCTTTAGAAAAGAGTAAGCTCTTTTATTGAAGGTCCCCAGGTCGTATCAGTCCGGGAAAATCACCGGTGGTGAATTATTCCACAGAGAGGTTGTACGCTGAAGAAAACTCCTTTTGAACGTTAATAAACGTTATAAAATAGTAAAACGAACAACTTATGTTTAAATTGTCTAAGCGATAGACATTTTGTTGCATAGTGCAACTCTAGTTCCGTGTGTAACAAGTCCCACAGCAAACACCATACGTTGTTTCATTTCGCGAGTGGCAACATATCCGCGTTAAATAAATCGGACAGTGAAACTCCACCCACTAAAGTCGCCCTGTGTTCACTATCGAACATGGAAACGCGGTCTCCTTCCACCGTCTCGCTGGGTACAGCACGCATCGTGGTTAGAGATTGGATTGGATGATTGAAGCATGGAAACGAACAGAGTGTTTGTGCATTACTAGATAGTGCGTCGCAGAGTAGATTCGTAACACGGCAATGTTGTCAGCGTTTAGGATTGTTTGTGAATAAGATTGTGAATAAGATTCGTGTCCCGTAGTAAAAGTTATTGGAGGTACCAATAAGAATATACAAGGTTCTATAAATTTAAAATATAAATTTAAAATTTTATTCTCGTCTAGATCGTAGTATTAACTTTAATATAAATGCTATATACTATATAAATGATATACTTACTTTACTTGTACTACTACTACTACTACTACTTTAATATAAATGATATACTTTAATATATAATATAAATGTCTTAAACCACATATAAATGCATTAGTAGTAGATAAGGTCACCGAGCGTCTGCCAACCGTTTCGGTCGACACCTCAGCAATGATTAATTTTGATAATTTTTTTATAGGATAGGATGACAAACGAGCACACAGTCCACCTGATGGTAAGTAGTTGCTGCAGCCCATAGACATCTACATCTATCCTCGATTACAAATCAAAATGCAGATGCAGTGTCACCCTTGAGGACTAAGATGGAATGCCTCATTTCCAGTAAAAAAAGGTCTCCGGTCTCTACACTCACCATACAAAACACAGCAGCGTTAAGCTACTATTTCACGCTGGTATTCTGTGAGAGCGTCGTCCTTGCCCGGTCGAGCCGACCCATTTGTGCTAAAACTATACTACTAATATAACTGCAGTATGGCTCTACTACGTATAAAAATTTAACTCTGGCAGACGATACTTACGCCGTCCCCGAAGATATTGACATGCTCATTGGAGCATCTGTTTTTCCTCATTTGTTACACAATAAGGTCAGGGGCAACTCCTCGTATACCGCGCCTTACGCACTGACCGACCGCGGAGACCGTTTGGTTGGTTCTACCCCATCATGGAATGATTTCGGCAACCTCCTATTGTTCTATGGCTGTCGAAACGCTCGAGTCGTTAGTTCGCAAATTTTGGGAGATGAAGAAGGTGAACGTTCCGTCTATAATTATCCCGGATGATAGATTGTGCGAGGATATTTACGACCGCACGATCGTTCGTGATCGCGATGGTCGATATAGTGTAGCGCTACCCTTTAAAGGGGTATTTTGTCTCTCGGTAACTCGCTTCAAATGGCAGAAAAACGTTTCTATTGTTTGGAGCGCAAGATTTGATGTGTCGCAAGATTTGAGAAGTTGATGTGTTGTTGCTTAGACGAGTATATTCAAAAATTGTGTTGCATAGTATCCATAAATAAAGTGAATATCTAATTGAGTAGTGCAATCGAAGCAAAAACTTTATATTTGTTTTAAATGCGGAACACATTCAACTTGATTTTGTTTTAATTTGTGCAATATAAATATTTGCTATAGAAAAATATCAGAATACCGACCTAATAATATCCCGTTGTGACAGTGTTCAAGTAAACGCGTAAGCGACACGATTTGCACGGCGCTTACGATCTTTTGGCTAATGCCCTTCCTTACCGACACATTATGTTAATTCCTGAATAATTGAAGATTAATATTGCTTATTGTTAAGTAAATAAGCGGTGCGTGGCTATTTTTTTTTACATGTTATATTAATTATTTAATGTACTGAATATTAATTATGTTGCGATCCCCAACCACAACTTACTCTTCAAGCCCAAATTTAATGTGTGAATCAGAGCAGAATCCAACAACACAAAGAAAGCGAAAGCAGCCTAATTGTGAACTCATGCAAGGTATTATTGCTATTAGATCGGATTTAAAAAGTGCTCTTTCAGAGTTTAGCCGCGATCTGGATTCAAAGTTGGAAAAAATTAACGGAAATATTTATAATACAAGAACAGATCTCGATTCTTGTAAGACGGAAATGAGAAAAGAAATAAATCAGTTACGTTTAGAGAATTCTACATTGAAAACGCAAACTTCGGTATTGTCTAGTGAAGTTGAAAACTTGCAACAGTCCTTACAGTTTTCAGACGCCGAGCATTCTAATCTCAAGAAGCGTTTCGATGAAATTACCACTGTATCCCATGCTACTAATAAAAAAAATGCCATATTGTTGCTAGAGGAAAAAATTGACAGTATAGATCAACAAGCAAGACAGTTTAATTTAGAGATTTCTAATGTTCCTGAAAAGAATGGTGAGAATCTTCTTTCTCTTCTTATTGGAGACCATTGGCAAAATAGTTAACTGTACTATAGTGCAAAAGGACATTATATCTGTTCACTGTGTACCCCACGCCCATAAACAAAATAGGAGGCCTAGGAATATTATCGTCAAGCTTACGTTCCGCACGCTTCGCGATAACATCTTGAGTGCATCTCATCTACATAAAGGTTTAACGTCGAATCAACTGGAAATACAGGGAAGTTCTTACACTGTTTATATGAATGAGCATCTTACATTAAAAAACAAAAAGCTGTTTTGTGAGGTCAGAGATTTGGCTAAACAAAAGAATTTTAAATACACCTGGGTCAAACACGCCACTATACTTGCGGAGCTGGCGACCAAGAGCGGACTTGTCCGATTAATGATTTTTTACAGGAGGGGCAAAGTTTTGAAACAAGCAAAAAAAAACTTGCCAGATTTCTGATTTTTAGTGTATGCGAGCGTCATTAAAACAAAAAAACCTATCCGTTGCATGTTTATCAAAAATCTGAATAGATATTTTTTTTGTCTTGAACAAGTCTGGTTTTGTTCAAAAGTTTGGACAACTCCGGTTTTGATTGATAAATTGATGGACATGTCCGTATTTGAAATGAAATTCAAATTTTTCACATCAAAAATTTAATCACAATAAACGACAAAATTAGACAATCTCTTGCAGATCGGGCTCACAACAATCACATTCCTTGACATCGGAGTCAACATCATCATCATCGACGTTATTTTCTGCACATGTATGATGAGTTGTAGTAGCTGTTTCATTGGAAATAATGGTTTTAAACCATTCAAGTTCAGGATTTTGTGACCATTGATCTCCGAACTGTTTGGTCAAGATTTGCTTCACGTCTTTCTTTTTCTGCTGCTTAATCTCATTCACCAGTAGAAGTCTGCGAAGAAGGGATGGATGATTCTGTGATGATTTTAGCAAAGACACTGTGCTAAGTTCATCTTCAGGGACATTATAAAAATTTGACACTTTTACGCCACAGTGTATATAAGTGAAACTATTCTCGTCTCGACTTCCATTTCTTCCTCGAAAACCACGTGATCTCTCACGTCCTCTACCTCTGCCACGTCGTTGATGAGTTCTCCCCCTGGATGGCGCGATAGAAGCCTGCCTTCTGCTTGATGAATCGTGTGTGTTTCGAGAATCTTTTAAACTTGCTTTTCTTTCTATTATTATTACTTTTGCGACCCTCATGTTGTCCACCTTTTTGTAATAGGTTTCCAGTTGTTTAAAACCGTAAAGACTCTAGTCTTCAGCTAACTTATGTACTTTGCCGTGTTTAGTATAAATCTCTTGGTAAGTTTCTGGGTTCAAAATGAATGGTTTTTTTCTTAGATCTTTTTCAACTCTGCCAAACACCCTATTAGCTGGCAAGAAGCTATGACCTCGCATGGGGAATGTTAAAACGATTTTAGCCACATTTGCCAGGGCGTAATTTTTTAGCCAAAACATTAACATATGCACTACGTGAGAGTTTTTGTTTTGCCCTCCGCATCCATCAGCAAAAAGGCGCAAAACTTCAACTCCCAATAAATCGGCAGAATTCAGGTACGTCAAAAGAGCAGACGCTATTTCTGCAGATCCTTTTCTGGCCTGATTTTCTGTCCAAATAAAAAATGTGGTTCTTTAGTAGGAATGTCTGTAACATAAAATGCATGCAGTCCGATTTGCCTCAAATAAAAAGATTCCTGAATGGGCGTCTTTGGAAGGCACTGTATTTGTTGAAGGTCGAAGCAGATTGTCAAAGAATTTTCTGAGTTTGTTTTAACAAGTTCAAAAAATCTTTTAGCTCTTATTTTGTGAACACGAAGCTCTACTTTTAGTGATTAAAGTTCTTGGGGATCTTTTTCGATTTTTTGTTTATTTTTCAATACTTCACACATGCTGCAGACATCGCATGATGGAGAAGAGAACCCAATATTAAAATGATTTTCAAAAACTCGTCGAAACATTGTTTCGGTCACTTTAAGATCATCATCAACGCCGGTGTTGTACAATCCCCACAGTTTCCTTATGTTCAACTCGTAAGAAAGATAAGTACGCCTCGATTTTTTTCTATTATAATGTGATTCTTTAGCTGGCAATGCAGTCAGAAACTTTTTCACACTCTCTTTTTTCTCTAAACTTTGAGCGCTTTTGCGATCGCCGCCGCTGTTGTCATGGGTCGTTTTCCCTTCATATATTTTATTAGCAATGATATTCACTCTGTGCTTCCCAAGACCTAAGGTAGCTGAGAAAAACTTCTTGCACACTTTAACAATACGTTTTGAATCTCTCAAAAAAAAAGAAAGTCCAAAGTATTGATTTCTCTGAGGCTTCATAGATGTGGCCCTCGACCGTTCCCTCACGATTGGACATGGTGATATAAATCGCACTAGGTATACATCTTTTTCATTTTTGATAGCTTTCTCATACAACAACTTGCGGTTATATACAATTTCGTTAATTGTTAAAGTTTGGCATTTAAATTTCCCCTTTTTATGATCACACACTGATTCAAAGTTCAGAGCAAGAGGGTCATTATCTACGTACCTAAAACAAAATGAATCAGGTTTGAATTGGAAAACATAACCTAAAATTTACAGTAATGTAGGTAACCAAATTTTAAATAACACTTACTTTGTATTACTACTCTTGAAGCAACCCGTTCCTTTTTTTTCCTTTTACGAGTGCCTTCATTGATATCAGCTACAGTTGACTTCTTTTTTTTCTATTTTAAAAAGCAAAACTTCAAATACAACCTTTTGACAACAAAATTGTAACAGCTGATTTAACTTTTTTATTGAAAATAGTTACCATAATTAAATAAGTGTTCCCACGTAAAAATATTGGTTAATGTAAATGGACACGTCACAGTTTGTTTGAAAATCCATTAACATTAAAATGCTTGTATTATTTTTGTCTGGGTTTGATTGAAAACCGAAATAAAGCGAAATTTTATCTAACTTTAAACAGGACAAGTCCGTTTTTGAATACAAAAGCAACTTTAGAAGTTGTTTTTCTATGAGAAAAAGCTGGAATTGATTGAAAATATTTCGGTAATGCAAAGATGTTTACTTTCTAAGGTATAAAGTACAATAAAAAAAATACTGATTGTATGGACAAGTCCGCATTTGTTCGCCAGCGCCTCACTTGTTCGAAAATCAGATAACTCAGCAGTGTTTGGTATACGTAGTTCGAATGACCTACACAAAATCCAATCCCATACCAGTTCTTCAACATAAGACTCAAGATATTTAAGTGTTAATATGTATTAAATATTATTATCATTCTGTAGGTTTAGTTTTTTTTTCGGAATGGATATAAGTTGTCATTTTTGCTTTTCTCTTATATATCTGTTTTTTTTAAAGGTAATAAACATAACTTTAATCACATTTTTAGCAATACTTTTATTTAAATTTATATTGTAAATTACTTTTTTGTTTTTTTTTTCTGATATAAAGTGTTGTTTTTGATTTTCTCTCATATCTGTTTCTCTCTCTGTTTCATTTATGTGAAAAATTTTACTTTAAAAACATATTTAGTTATACTATAGAATATATAATATATTTTAAGTTTAAGGCTAGACCAATAAATTGTAAATTATAATAAGTGCTAAAACATCCGTTACATTCTCTGTTTGTGACAATATTAATTTAAAGTAAAAAATAAGTGCTTAACTAACGATTTAGTAATCATAAGAAAGGTAATATACGATGGATATTATCAAAACTGCAGGTTTACGTACAAAATTACACACGTTATGTAAGAATATTCTTAGTAACTGTTACGATATTATAATATTAACAGAAACCTGGCTTACCTATGACATATGTGATAATGAATTTATAGACCAACGTTATGTTGTATTTCGTTGTGATCGTGATCGCATTTTAAGTAATAAATCTGATGGTGGTGGTGTACTGATAGCTGTCCTGCAAAGCCTAAAGCCAACATTATGCTCATTGTCCAATGAAACAAGTTTGTCTAAATATCTAGAACATGTTTTAATTTCTTTCTACAGCTCTGATAGTAAAACCAAACATATGATTAGTGCCGCTTATTTACCACCTAATCTTGATAAGGCAATATTTGAATTGCATCTGAATACGTTTCAAAATATATATGCAGATTCTCAATTTGATAATTTCTATGTACTGTGTGATTACAACCTGACGTTGATTGGATCCCTAGTGGTACTGGGCAGGGATTAGTTTGTACTGGTACATTATCTACTTGCTTACAAATGAATTGTCTCCTATCTTTTTTAAATGATTTACAATTCAATACATTTCGAAACTCTAAACACAAAATTTTAGACTTGTTTATCTCGAATAAGCAGTGTTCTGTGCTACTACCTCAAGATACTTTAATATGGGTAGATGATTATCATCCACCATTTTTTTTATAGAAGAGGGGGCAAACGAGCATGCGGCTCACCTGATGTTAAGTGATTACCGCCGCCCATGATCAACCGCAACACCAGGGGAATTGCAGGTGCGTTGCCGGCCCTTTAGAAAGGAGTAAGCTCTTTTCTTGAAGGTCCCCAGGTCGTATCGGTCCGGAAAAATCGCCGGTGGTAAACTATTCCACAGAAAGGTTGTACGCGGAAGAAAACTCCTTTTGAAACGTACAGTGGTGGACCGCCAAGCATCCAGATGGTGTGGATGGTTTTGCGCTTTTATTCCCCTTGAAAGTAAAATTTCCTCTATGAAACGTTGCCGAAACCGCAAATATAATTATCATAAGGCAAATTATGAATTAATTAACTCTAGATTGAAGAATATTAATTGGGAACAGTTACTTTGCCCACTCTCGTTAGAACAAGCTACAAATACTTTTTACGAAATTATAAATGGAATTGTTAAAGAGCTTATACCACTCTCCGTATACCACCAAAATATCCTAAGTGGTTTTCACCTTCTTTAATTCATATCTTTAAAAGTAAAAAGAAGGCATGGGGTAAAAATACAATAACATAGCAGATTATGAAACATTTTCTACGTTTAGATCAAGATTTCGTGATCAGTGCAAAAAAGCATATGATAAATATATGGAATCACTTGAGGATGCTGTTCCTCATAATATAAAATATTTTTGGACTTTTGTATCTCATAATAGAGGTAGGACAGGTTTTCCTTCAAATATGATTTTTAAAGGCAAGTCTTCGTGCGATCCTGATGAAATTTGTAACATGTTCTCCACCTTTTTTCAATCTGTTTACGAAGCTTCAACTTTATGTCTAGATACGTGGACACCACCAACTAACTTTGCTGATAATGGTGTTCTTATAAATGAACTAAATTTTAACATTGATAAGGTTAAAAATGCTATAAAATCTTTAGACATCTCCAAAGGAGCTGGGCCTGATGGCCTTCCCGCAATATTTTTTTCTCGAACCAAAGATAATATATGTGTCCCTCTACATATTTTGTTTAATAAATGCATGCGAGAGGGAACTTTTTCTAATATCTGGAAGCGTGATAATGTCATTCCCGTACATAAAAATGGGTCAAAGCACTGAAAAATATCGTCCAATTTCAATCTTATGTACTGCATCAAAACATTGTGAAAGATTAGTACATAATGAAATCCGTAGAATTTTTCATAACACTATCATACCAGAGCAACATGGCTTCGGAAAACAAAGATCAACTGTAACTAACTTGACCCTCTTTGTTGGTGAGCTATTTTTTTAACATCGATAATCGAATTCAAACAGATACTGTATACACAGATTTCCAGAAAGCATTTGAAAAAGTATACCATGAACTATTTCTTAAAAAAATAGCATTTAATTGAATGAGAGGCAATCTATGTATTAAGGTGGTTTTCTTCATATATTTTAAATAGGACCCAGACAGTTGTTATAAATGGCCACTGTTCCAATACAATAACAGTAACATCTGGTGTGCCACAGGGATCTATCCTTGGTCCGTTGCTCTTCATCCTCTTTATAAATGACATAAACGAATGTTTTAAGCACTCAAAATTTTTATTATATGCTGATGATCTGAAGGCTTATAAAATTATAAAAAATGTAAATGATGTTTACTTTTTCAAGAAGATCTTAAGAATTTGAGTTTGTATTGTCTAAAAAATAAACTTTATCTTAGTATACCAAAGTGTCTAACAATATCTTTTACTAAAAACAAAAAAGTGGTTAAATTCAACTATACCCTCTGTGACAAACTGTTGCATATAGCCTCTTTTGT